GGCTGATGAATACCGTTTCGTCATGTGGCTGCCTGGACGAACTTGTAGATTCCAAATTTTTTGGTACGTATTGTTATAGATCGAGAGTTTTCCTGTGATTTTCTGGTGTGTAGTAACCTTGCCTTGCTATTATAACGGTAGAATTAGTTTGTTGATTCGGACTACCGTTGTAGTTTAAAATTATAGTCCAGATTTTTCAAATTCTCTGAAATCTCGGTTTATTCGGTCTTTTATTCAGCAGAAATCCGGTTGTTGTTAAAGTTAAGTTTTGTAACTTACGTTTTTTGGCCTGGTCCTGACTTGCTTGAGTTTGAAATTTGTAATCTAGCATTTTAACTCGACTGCTTTTATAAATTGGAAGTGAAAGGATTTGCAAACCCGAAATCTATGTTTCACTCCAAGGTGCGGTGCTGAATATGAATTAGTTTTCGGATCTATGTTATGTTCTGCGATTTCATGTGTTATATTAAGCCTGTCAGGCTCACATCGTGAAATCTGAGCAAATTCATCTTCCAACTCAAAATACTGATGGCTACCAGTTACCGGTAGGAACGAGGAAGTTGTTATACAATCATCTCTGAGTTTTGGCTTATTCAAAAGCTGTGTGTCTATAACAACTGGATGCTAAAATGCTTGGTCATTTCGGCGATCTGCCAATGCTCGCTGCTTTTTATTCCTGAAATTTTCATTTTCATTTGCGAATTTGCATCAAAATTGATATTCTCTCTTCCATTTAGTTCACAATCTATCAATGTTCAATAAGATGGAGTTGCGCCAGGAGGAAAAAATCGTTGATGTCTATCGAGAAAACAGCCGTGCGGAACTAACGCGCTGTATCACTGCAGTGAATCGATTGTTGGAACGAGTGTGCTTACTGAAAGAGCTGTGGCCCGAAGTAACGGTGTTAGAAAATATTATACAGGTAAACTTTGCAGCTTCGTTGTTTTTACATATTTTTGTCCAAGGAGACGGGCGGTGTTGCCCTCGCGGTGAATGAACTCCGTTGCAATCAACTGGCTTAAAAGCTGAGCTACAGTACTCTTTGTCAAAGCTAATTAAGCGTGATTGGTTGTAGAATTCAAAAGCAGAATTTGAATATGCTCCTGGTAAAAGGGAAGCAGTTGACAAGACTGTATGCATGGCCTTTGGCTGGTTCGGTTTTCAGCAGTACTCACCAAACGCTCGATTCCCTCGGATGCTAGGCTCTTCTATCTTGAGACGCATATGCTTAGTACGCAGCCCTCCCTTACTGTTGAAAAAATCGGGCTAAGCACAATAGGAAGTTGAAGCAAACAAAACTTGACTGGTTTTTTCACTCAAACTCCCCTCCCCCCCC